TGTGAGAGAGAGGGAGAGAAAGAGAGAGAGATAGAGAGAGAGAGAGAGGAAATCAAGAAACATGGGATGGGTTGACTTCGGTGAAATAGTGATGATATGAGAGATAAGAATAAAGAAAAAGTTAAAGCCCCTTATTTTCTTCTTTCCAAGCTGGCAAGATATATATATATACACACATATACATGTGTGTGTGTATATATAAATCTCTTCTCTGTTTCTCTTATTTCTCTCACTCTCCTTTCTCTTTCTTCTTCTCTCTTCTTTTCTCACACATAGAGACATTCTTTCTCTTTCTTTTTCTTTCTATTTTCTTTTCTTCTCAGCTTGCAATTTTCTGCTTCAAGATTTCTCATTTTATAGGCAAGGGATGCCGTGAAGATCAATTTTTCTGCCTGAAAAATCTTCCAAAAATCTCATGAATTGATTTTCATAGTTTGAAAAATTAGCTAATCAAATTTAATGCAATTAATAAATAGCCTAAGCCAAAGAAATCGAACACTAGCCTCCCTGGTCCTTCAAAAAGGAGGCTATGCTCCTACATCACACAATTTTGCGAGCTCTTGAATAGACAAGCTTGATGGAGTAACCATAACGGTGGTTATTAGTAGGTTGATGAATCACAAGAAAGTTTTTTTAATCTCTGGAGTGCTATGAAATTTTGGTCTAGATCTTCGTCGAGACTTACAAATATATGAGCTCACATGTGAATGGAGGTGAGGTGGCTCTTAAGAAATGAAAAATAATTAGACTAAAGAAAACTTTAGGCGCCACAATATAACAAATGCATCCAAGGTAAGTTAATCCCCAAGTGCACGAAGAGTTAATCGAGTACACCCTATCTAACACTTGATTATCCTAAATAGTTGTTGAAATTCGAAATGAAAAAAAGTTGTTTAATGGTCACAACCCTTTAAAGCCACAAGTAAAACATACAGCAAAAGTGAAAATATTGTTACGTCCATCATGTTCTTGGCATGATGCTAGTGAATGCAAAGACTTAAGGTTGAGATTGAAAACCTTGTTTAGGGAGGCTACTATAAAAGGTTCATGGTGGTTAATTGTCAACCTCTGCCAAGGAATCATGGAAAAGATGATAGGCAAAGAAATATGATCAACGTCAAGGACAACAAATTCAAGTGATAGCATGAAAGATCCATTCATTATTACGCGAACAAATATTAGGAGGAAAATAACCGAATGGCCAGAGAAACACTGTGTGAGTGGAGGTAAGGTATATTAACAGCTGAAAAAATCAACGATAGCCTTAAGACTTTATCACGTTTTCTACGTCAAACCTTGGGGGACTAAGAATGTCTCATGAGGATATATATATTGTTGTTATAACCAGTTATGAGGTGAAATAAATAGGTCATAGTTGATATAAAAAAGATTCATAATTTTTTTTTTTTTTTTACTTTTAATTTCAAAAATGCATCTGTCTCTATCATTAAGTCAAAAATCTTATTTATTATAGATGGAGTTCCAATAGTGAGATGGGTCTAGAAGGAAGTTGTAAGCATTACATTCATACAAAAATTCCATACCAAGTATTAATTACACACCCTTGACTATCAACTACAAGCTTGTTGAAAAGGAACAATTTCATTGGTTTATGGAACGGTCAATTAATATACCAATGATGATGTTAGGTTATAAGAACACTCATGTATGGATTTATTCTTTATATATGGGATTGAATCTGGTCTTAGTTTGAAAAATGTATGTAACAGTTTCCAAAAATATGAAAAAGCATTATTCCTTTTGTTGAACTGCATTAATGAACCTCTTTTACTGTGTTTGAAATGTGTAAATATGAAGAAAATTGGGGGGTTAAAATCACTATAATATAATTCGCTAACTTTCCCCGTCATCCTAGACCCACGTGTCTTTACTCACAAAGTTGCCACGGCTAACAAGTGTCGACATGGTAGCCCAGCAGCATAACGACGTGGCAATCTCAGTGTGATGCGAGCGAGAGAGGGGGATAGTCAAGTCAGGGTTTTGTCGAAGTAATTTTTGTAGGTGGTGATTGATTTATTTGATTTCCATATGAACTTTTCCTTTTTGTTAAATGTTTTGTTTTGTGGGGATTTTTCAGGTTTAATAAAAGATTGATTGATTTGATGGTAATTTCAACGGGACAGGAATGGATTCGTCAGGCTACGGAACTGAATATCAACATCTTCATCAACCGGCTTTGATTGTTGGGGGATGCTTTGCCGCTGTGGCAGTCCTTACCTCCATCTATCTCATTCTTCAACATCTCAGATCATACACCAACCCTGCTGTTAGTTTCTTTCATTACCCACATTATTCAATTCTGTTATGATCTTCTGGATATTCATTTCTTTATCTATTTGTTGCTGGGTTTGATTATTGGAAAATTACCCAAGTTATTTCCTTCTGTTCTATTCTATGCTACAAAAATGTGATTGTTTATTCTAATTTTGCGTGTTAAGACTAATCTAAGAATCAATAAGAGTTCAAGACGATAAAATGATTATTTTTCAGGAGCAAAAATGGGTGGTTGCAGTTATTTTCATGGTTCCCGTCTACGCTACGGAGTCTGTAAGTTTCTGTATGTCTCTCTGAAATGCAAAGGACATTGTCATTGAAGTAATTGAGTTTGAGTTTGATGTAACTGAGGAATTGCAGATTATATCATTGTGGAACTCAAAATTTTCTTTGGCATGCGACATTCTGAGAAACTGCTATGAAGCATTTGCCTTATACTCTTTTGGAAGCTACCTGGTTGCTTGCCTGGGTAATCTGCTGACATCTTTTTAGGCTTGATTTTTTTCAAGATCTGTTTATATTGTTGACATAAATCCAGGTGGTGAAAAAAGAGTTGAAGAACTCCTCGAAAATGAATTGAGAAAATGGCTTGGGAAGCCATTGTTAGAGGAGAGAGACGAAGATCATTGGGTTCAACAGAGGCCATTTAGAAACTTTTTTCTCCGGCCATATATTCTTGGAAAAGATCTCTTCACAATAGTAAAGTTTGGTCTTGTGCAATATGTAAGATATTAACTTGTATTGTTTTGCTATATTGGGTGGGAAATTTCTTTTGGATTCTGATTATATTCTGGTTGCTACAGATGATTCTAAAGACAGCCTGTTCATTCTTAGCATTATTGTTAGAGCTTTTCGGGGTCTATGGTGATGGAGAATTCAAGTGGTATTATGGGTATGTATTGCATATTTATCTTGCATCCCTGCATTCTCTAGTTTAGCGAAGTGATTTATCATAAAAAATATCTGTCAGTTCAAAATTCTTACTGCTAGATAGATGATGAAGTTTCTTTACTGCACCCTCCTGTACTGTTGCAGGTATCCATACATTGCAGTAGTTATGAACTTTAGCCAGATGTGGGCATTGTATTGCCTTGTGCAGTTCTATAATGTTACCCATGAAAGGCTTAAAGAAATAAAACCATTAGCAAAATTTATTAGCTTCAAGGCTATTGTGTTTGCTACTTGGTGGCAGGGAGTGGGGATTGCACTCTTGTGTTACACAGGTGTTCTGCCAAAGGAAGGAAAATTTCGAAATGGATTGCAGGACTTTCTGATTTGTATAGAAGTAAGTTTTTTTTTTTTTTTCTTTTTATATTCCTTTATATTTGTCTTTACTAATTTGAATATGTAAATAAGTGAACTGTATTAATTTTTATGGTTCTGACTACAAAAGATATTGTGAGCTACATTTACTATTGTGCAGTACAACCATGAGAGTCATAGAGCACGATAATAGTGTATTTCATGGCTTGATAGATGGCCATAGCAGCCGTTGCACACATATTTGTCTTCTCAGCAGAACCTTACCGATTTATCCCAGCGCCAGTATATGGGACGGTCACTGCTGAAACAAGCAGAGCAAAGGTTAAGTTAGAGGAGCATGGTGAGGAAAAACCAGCTTTAGTTGAGGAAGTTGAAACTCAGGTTGAAGCTCCTGGAACAAGCATCAGAAGTAGTGTTCAGGACATTGTGGTTGATGGCGGTCAGCATGTAAGTAGACTGTTTATTTTCAAGCACAACATACCTTATTTTCAAGCATTCTCTGAATAATCTACCGTTTTACATGGTCCTTTATTTTAATCTTATAAAGTTTGGTGAATAGGTTGTCAACGATGTTGTGTTGACTATAAACCAAGCAATCGGACCTGTAGAAAAGGGTGTAACAAAGATTCACGAGAAATTTCATCACAAATCAAAAGGTCCAAGCGACGAGGAAGAGGAGTCGGAGTTTGAAGTTGAGGAGCATGTTGAAGGAAACTCCATTGAGAGAGATGCTAGTGTTTGAACTTAATGAGAGTAGTGACATTTCCTTGTCTATTCTGTTGTCTATTTACCTTTCTGAATTTGAAGCACATCAAATCAGAAAGTTTCTGAAATGGGTCAGTCAGTTTGCTCAAAACAATTTTCCCCAGTGCTCTAATGCTCAACAATTTCACCAACCAATAACATTCTATTTCATGGTAGAAATCCCAATTTGCCAGTAGACTAGATCACTACATATAACCTTGAAGAGTTTAAATACAGCCCATGAATTAACAGCATAAACCCGTTACGAGGGAAATATTCCTGAAGATCTTATATTTCTGATATACAGAACGCTGATCACTTGGGCAGCAAGCCAATATAAAAGAACTCAGAGAGAAACAAAAAAATTATATATTTACTGTAAAACAACTCGTGTATGCATATACAGTTTGAGGCATATTATCAGTGTCCGTCTTCACCAGGGCAACATATTGCTGAACAACACTCTGCGCAACCAAAACATGCTAGAGCAGCACACAACTGAGTGAATGCTATTGCACATTGGTCATTTATCTTGGTGCAACACTGGATGCAGCACATGCAACAGCAGTGACTGCACATCCTCCCGCAACAATTTGAAGCTGCCTTTATGAACATTTCGGCAGCATCAGGCAACTTTGCTTCTCCATATCCTGGTGGGATGTTTTCCGTGGTGGCAGTTATGTCACCAAATCCAATACCGAGGCTATACAACAATATTTTTCTCAAATTCTTCAACTCTACCACCTTTTCTGGATCACTTTTGTTTGACATCTGTTCCAATTTATTGTCAAAGATCCTACTAGTAGGGTTCTACATAAAATGATTCGGTACAAACAATGTACAAAAGAAATGATCTAATAATGATTTATTAGCCTTACACCCAAATAAAATATTCATGATCCAAGCATATTTGACAAAAAAAAAGGATGCAAAGCTTGGGATTCCTGGTAACTGAAAAGCTAAACATTCTGATATCAGGCGACAATTCGAGTAAACTTAGAATCAGCATGATAAAGCTTTTTGGGCTTTTTCTTTGGAAGCATTATCTTGTTTTTTGAGAATTTGTGTGTGATCTATTTTTGAATCTTCTTTTTTCTAAAATTACTTTTTCCAAAAAATTTTAATTGAAAAAAACAAATTAGCTGCTTTAGGACAAGAACTATATTGAAAGTAATAAAATTTGCTTTCACGGAAAACATATTTGTTTGTGGAATATATCCCTAATTTTCCTTTTCATATAAAAAAAATTGTTTTCAAGGAAAACAAATAAGAATCATCAATTAGCTTTAATCACTATACATATTTTTCTAAACAAATTAATATAGAACATATGAATATATTTTAATTTCTAAAAAAATATTCCTTAAATGCAATACAATTATGTAAATGTGCTCCTTGATATTTTGATATGTATTATAACCAAAGCAAATATTTTGTACAACATAACAACAATATTTTATTAAAAATAGTTTACTTAAAAATTTGAACTTTTAATCATGGCAATAAAAGCAACCTTTTAGAATTTTTTTACCTCCACAACATTATCAAACAGTCTTGGCTATTAATTCATTTTATATGAACAGATACTCTGTTATTCTCACAAGAGCTACCAAATAACAATAACAATTGAAGACAATGCATACCCTTTTGGCTCCAGCTGGTTCTGTTGCTTTCCTGACTTTAACTTCCTCAAGCAGGGCCATAGTTGTATACTCAGACGGAAAGCCAGTCTGAATGCTAATTTTAGCAACCTGGGCCAGTTAAGGGATATTTCATATATATTTTATATAATATACATATATATGCAGCAGAAACCGTCCCCAATTTAGAAAATGGAAATTAAGCCAGGAGAAAAGAGATGCAGTCAATAGAAGTTAGAGTCAACATAGCACCCAACAAATTGGATATATATATATACATATTTTTTTAAAAAAAAAAAAGAATAAAGTGGAATAAATTGTTCAGCATTTCTCAATAGAATATCAGCATGACAAAACCTATAGCACCCAAAAACTTCCGATATTGCATTGAACTGTCTTGTCTTTGAAAATTAAGCCTTTGTAAAAACCTGACTAACTTACAGACCTTTTCTTGAAGTTGTTTATCGTCTGAAAACCAGGCCTGAGCAGTTAGCAGATCAATTTTCTGTTTTGCAAGTACCTGTGACAAGAAAAGAAACAGTAGAAAGTCATACTAAGCAGAAAACTGTGAAGTCGCAGCACTCAAGATCCAGAAAAAGAGTAATTGAGAAATACTGTTGGACCCAACACTAAAATAGAAATGGAAAGTCAAACATAAGAATGTGAACGACGAAAGAATAACTGCTGTTACACTAGAAGCTATAGGCTCTGGAAAGATGAATTAAAATGGGAAAGTGCAAAAGCAGGGAAATAAGACGAGAAAAAAAGTAGTGATTCTGTTTAATCAAAACATATGCATTTTTACATTGCAATAAACATAACAAAACCAAGATCCCCTCATGATAAAAAGCAAAGTCATAAACTGCCCGTACTCTGTCTATAGGAATGTCTTTTGCACTTTGTATCTTCAAATCTACTATGCAATTCGTTAAATCTCCCTTGAGACCTTTAACTGTAAGATTATCTGGAAACTTTCCTTGATAACATCCAGAAACAATCAATGGGCTTACAGATGAAAGGTCTGGAATACGGGAAGGATATACCTACAAAAATTAGAAAATCTCAAATCAAGTAAAACTAAAAAATAACTTAATTCCATGCAGAAGAATAAAATTATCAATTAAGAATAGCCAATAGACAAATTTACAAGGCACTGCATAGTTGAAGCATTGAATATAATTAGCAAAGAAACCAGTTACCTTAAGCATTAAGAAATATGGAACATAATATCTCTTCAAATTAAGGGATTGTCCTCGGTCATCCCTTAATATCTCAAATCAAGCAAAATTAAAAAATAACCTAATTCCATGCAGAAGAATAAAATTATCAATTCTTCAGAATATCTCAAATCAAGAAAAATTAAAAAATAATCTAATTCCATGCAGAAGAATAAAATTATCAATTAAGAATAGCCAATAGCCAATAGCCAAATTTACAAGGCACTACATAATTGAATCATTGAATGTAGTTAGCAACGAAACCAGGCAACTTAAGCATTAAAAAATATGGAACATATATCTCTTAAAATTAAGGGATTGCACTCGGTCATCCCTTCAGAATTTTGATATTTGCATGTGCTGAATCAAAACAAAGGCATATAAAGGTTATGAGGCTAGAAAACATCTAATATTTTATGAGGCTACCATGAAAACCCAAATCAAAGTCAGAACAGGCATACCTCAACCTTGTTAAGATCCTCAAAGCCATGAATAGTTATATTAGTAAGCACCGTGCATAAAGCTCTGGTGAATAACCTTTGCAACTGGATTTCGATGGTACCTGACAATCAATAAATCATATTAGAAGTCAATTGCATTAAGATCTGATGTGAAAAATATCTAATTAGTCGCGATTCACAATGGTTACTTATCATTTAGTACATTAATAAAGGAGTCCAAGTTCAATATCTAAGCCCAACTGTTTCAGACTTGATGGTCGTAAAATGAAGTAGAAGAATTGGAGCCAACAAGCGGAAGAACACCAAAGAATAACTGAGGTTTTAACTTATCTCCTAAATTATGAATTATTTAAAAAATTTGAAAAAAACAGAGACTGCAGAACTAACCTACGTCATATGCAGCTTCATGATGGCCCCCAGAGATTGTTGCAAGGGTTTGCAGGAAATAGTTATTACAAAATGAACCTGAAGTATATCGCATAATAGATTCCTTAACATGGTATGTGGAGTTAATAGTGTAAGCCACCAATGATGCAAAACATAATAAGAAAGGATTATTCATCTAGTTCTTTTCCGTTAGTTCCAAACTAGCAGATAAATAAATTACAGTTAGTGTATATATATTATTAACAATTCTTTCTTATTATGTTTTATAGCAGATAAATGAATAATGGTTAGTGTATATCAATCTATCAGTTCAGACAACATCCACCATGTAAGATGGCTTACAGCAAACAAAATAGAGGTTGAAAGAATAGAATACTTGAAAAGATTACCGATGCCAAAAGTGTATATGCGTGGACATATTGATCCTCCATTTGTTAGGCGACTTTTCATTACATCACAGATGTGTCTCTCATCTTCCACGGCTCCATCAGTAACAAGAAAGATCATAGGAACAGAACCACGAGTATTGGACAACATTTCCACTGCCTAAAAGACATAAACAGCTAAATATTGGATGCTTTATCGAAGATAAGTTGTAAAGGATAAGAGTCAATATCAAACAAGAAAAGTTCCTCAAAAAAGGCATCAAACAGGCATAAGGAACATATCATGAAAAACATGAGGATATTCTAACGATATATGTAATATACCACCAAACATGATTGTATAAAATCGGTTAAACAAAGGTAAAGCATCGTCCGATTGCTATAGAACCAAATAAAATAATTAACTATGGTAGATTTGGAAATCAAATGCTTTTGGACTACTTCTGCACTCCGATGCTCAAGAAATGGAATGATTTTGGCTCTTCTATTTGTTTCTTGTGGAAGGTAAAAACAGTCTCATTCCTATACAACCAAACAAAACAAGTAACTACTGTAGATTATGGAAATCAAATGCTTCTAAACTACTTCTACACTTCGATGCTCAAGAAAAAAAATTGGAATCCTTTTCTCTCCTGTGTTATTTCTTGTGCAAGGTAAGCAATGAATATTGGTTTTCTTTTGCAATTTACTTGAGACCATCTATAAACATTTAGTCAATGTAAAAAGTCAAAGAACAAAGAGGTTTGCACACATCTATAAACAGAACATACAATTGATGAGTTCTAGATTAAGAGATCACTGAAAGTAAATGATTGGAGACCTTGTCCAAGGGAGCAAGTATATTCGTTCCACCTCCCGCAATGTAAGCAATGAATATTTCTTGTGCAAGGTAAGCAATGAATATTGGTTTTCTTTTGCAATTTACTTGATACCATCTATAAACATTTAGTCAATGTAAAAAGTCAAAGAACAAAGAGGTTTGCACACATCTATAAACAGAACATACAATTGATGAGTTCTAGATTAAGAGATCACTGAAAGTAAATGATTGGAGACCTTGTCCAAGAAGGAAGTATATTCGTTCCACCTCCCGCAATGTAAGCAATGAATATTTCTTGTGCAAGGTAAGCAATGAATATTGGTTTTCTTTTGCAATTTACTTGATACCATCTATAAACATTTAGTCAATGTAAAAAGTCAAAGAACAAAGAGGTTTGCACACATCTATAAACAGAACATACAATTGATGAATTCCAGATTAAGAGATCACTGAAAGTAAATGATTGGAGACCTTGTCCAAGGGAGGAAGTATATTCGTTCCACCTTCCGCAATGAAGTTAATGCTAATCCACTCATTTGCCCTGTCAACTGCTTCATTGGTGGCCAACTCCATTGATGTTGAAAATAAATAAGTCTCACCATTGAAAGCCATAATGTTGAATAAATCTTCAGAACTAAGCCCAAAGAGAGCTGCGGATAATGCACTTTTCATATCCTCAAGTGGCTTTCCATTCATGCTTCCACTTATATCAACCACAAATATCACTTCCTTTCTGAATACCTATCAGATTAAATAAATTGAAGACGTACTAATTGACAAGAAAAGAAGGAGAGAGACCAAAAAACCTCTTTATTAAAACAAAAAGAAACCCAACCTTCCTATTTTCTTGACTTCCTGGCATAAGATAGATACAGAAAGTTTCCCGCTGATCAACATCATGGATAGATGGAGATTGCAAAAGCAGACCACCGAATACATCAGTTGAAGAAACCTAAAACATAAAAAATAAAAAAGATAAAATGGCAGAATTTAAGTTTAATAACATAAGACAAAAGCACTCAATCAGAAGATGCCCATATATCGGTAATACAATTAAATTTTTAAGTTATATCCACTCTTCAAGAAACCACTTTGTTGTAGCCATTTATGTAATAAACAGCTAATAAATACAGCTAACTCGTAAAATAAATAGATAATCTGATTCTTACAGTATATGAGAAATTAAAGTCGGAATTCGACCATGCAAGAACTTCTGCTTCATACAAGAAACCCAACTTCCCAACATGACGCCTTATTTCCTGATGTGACAACCAGAAACGAAACACTTCTAAGACAGAAAATAAACAAATATATACATATATATATATATATAAACGAGAATCCCAGTAAAATTGATAAAAGTGCACCTTCAGAGGATGACTACTTGTCTTACACAAAACTTCAGTTCCAGTACCAGCATCCACATTCAATTGTATCTTCTCTTTTTTTGAAATTTTCTTTACAGCAGGAGTTACATACTCAGGAAAGCGAAATGGTACGTTCACTGAAAATTGGCCATCCTTATATGACAATTTCTGGGACCAAGAAAGTCTAATTGAAAGATTGGTACCTCCATCAATCTGGAAAGATAAGAACATGGCATAGTTCAGTAGAAAGTGAATTAAACTCCATAACATTGCAAAATAAACATGTCAATTTTGAAGGTTTTTTCCTATGGAATGGGTAGTCTTTACCTGTGGTATTGTTAAGGTAAAAATATGTGGTTTCAGAAAGCCTCCATCTTCATCCCGAGCAACTCTTTCCACATGCTTGTTGTCTTGCACCGCAATCAGTTCAGTATAATATGATTTTCTAGGGACGTCAACCTCAACACCTAGAATTGAACCCTGTTAGCCAAATAATATAATTGAGAACAGTAATCAATAGGTTCAAACATTGGAAAGCAAAGCAACGTTAACAAAGCCTAACATAATTTTCATGTTTTACTTTTTCTTCAAAAGAGAAACATCTGTTCTTTTCCATTGTAACCCGGAAGGGGAAAGTAACAGAAGCTTTACTCCTCCCTGGTTGATTATTCATTCTTTTCTTTGTATAGGTGGTAAGAGAGTTCCCTTTATTTTGGAAAAAGAAAAAAAAAAGATATTTTTCCAACAGCAAATAGTTCAGTATGTAATTTCCAATCCAACGTCCTAAATAATCCTAGGGGGATACAGTTTAAACCATTTTAAGAAGTTCACTTTTCCCTCATCATAGTACCAAGGGCTTAATTCCAAAACAATCACAAATTCGCAACTCAATTTACTTTATGGCCTGAGAATTGATTTCTCATGAATCATGATCTGATTCTATCAGTAATAATTGTAACTTCTCCAAACTTAAATTATCCAATAAGATTAATGATCACCAACACCAAAGAAAACTATGAACATCTATAAAATTTCAGAAATTAAAAGAAAAATTGTAACTAAAACTCCATTCTTTTTGGAGTCGAATAGGATATTTAAACAGACCTGGTCGCCCATGGGGACAGCAACGCGGCAATCACAGCTCCGGCTGCCCATAACGCAGTGGACCCGCCAGGATCCGATGACTCGAACAAAAGCGGTATCCAAATAGCAGTTGACAACCAGCTCGATACCGTTCATTTGCAAGGGGATCAGCGCGGGCGGGTCGCACCTGCCGTGCACATGCGGCTGGTAACTCGGTATATCAGGGTTGTCGACGATCCCCGGGTCTGATATAACGGCATAGACCATTGGCGCCGTAGGAAGATAGTCGTGGGCAGACGACTTCTCCATCTGCGGCAGCGGTCTAGGCGGAGCCACCGCCCGGTCCTTCCCAAAGTATATCCGCTTCGAAAGCTTGAGCCCGTCATCCACAGCCTTTGCAAAATCTTCGGCCATCGGGCAACAAAAACGTGTTTCTGTTTCTGCTATTCAAAAAATCAAAAAGCAAAAGAAAAACGTAATGGACAGATTGTTCTAAGCTTTCGAGATAAGAGAAGAAGTTCGAAGTCGGGTCTCCTCTGGCAAATAGCGTGAAACCATAACTTTTGTATTTCTTTTTTTAAAAATTTATTGTATATTTGATTTTAGATGTTGGGGAAGGCTACAGTACTACAACAACTATTTTAAATTTCCGTTACTGTCGATGTGAGTCAGACGTCTTGTTACGCGTCGAACGACAATACAATCTGCCGACTTGTTGAAATCAAGAGATTGACGTACCATTCAATAAATCATTTTAATCAGAATCTGATGGTGGTCCTGCACGCATATGATTGATTATATCAGGAGTAACGGAACACTCAGTTTAACTATTCTGGGTCCGCCACTTGTGAGTTTAGAGAATGGATCTGACCGTTGGCTACTTTACCAATGTCTAGTTTCATGCGCAGCCTGTAGAAAGAAATAAATGATGGCTAATTGATGTTGACACCCTTTTCCAATACGGCGTAGTTCCTTAGCCGCACTGAACTCACAATAGAATATATATTTTATTTTTTATTGGATATAATTTTGACAGTTGTTCAATTATGTTAGTTAACAATAGAATAAGTAATTTCATTATTCAGCCAAAAAAAAAAAAGAGTTAATGTAAATTACACATTCCACTACAAAAAGCATTGATTCACTGAACCAAAATCTTCTGTAAAGATTAGATTAAATTTAGAAAGAAACAAATTTAAAATTGTAACGCCGTGGGTCTGCCAATCGTCATTAAAATCCATGACATCCAACATTTGATATGCCGTATTTCATTGTAAGAAAAAGAAACAAGACACGTGCGCCACTTTCATGTGTGCTTTACTTACTGTCACCAAGAAAAATAATGCACAAAACATTTAGCAGTTAGTTCTGCAACCCATTTGGGCTACAAAATAAGATTGAGAAGTGACTATCCATGCCGAGTATTATTTGGCTGTAAGATTATCAACAACTTTAATGAAAAATTACATCTGCGACTCCACATCTTCCGGCCCAATGTTCCCTTTCCCTTTCGGTCTTCTTCCCCTAATTACAGTAATCTGGAATTTCAACTTCCCCCATGACTGGCCTTCTACAATCTTTAGTTTACAATGTTTACATGAAAGATAAAAGAAAAATAGTATCGTGAATTCAAGTATATGAATTCCTCTCCCCCAAGATGAAGGAACAACCATCACTCCGTCGCAAAAGCAAAGAATACCTAAACTATAAAAGTCTATATGACCTATAAATCTACAAACATGAAGACCACAGAAGTCGTTTACCATGGCCCACAAAGACCAGAAAGTGTACCTTTAT